TCATTGGAAAAGGTAGAACATGAATGAGTAAAGAGAAGAAAAATAGGCAGCAGTTTAAAACTGTGTGGGATTATGATTCATTAATAATGTTACAACTACCAAAAAAGGAAATAATATTTGAGATGATTCTTCATAACAAAGTGAAAAACAATTCCTTTGTTTTGATTTTATCACTGTTTTAGCTACCATCAAATTTAATACCCTTAATAAATAGAATTTTACAAAGATCTTTTATGCTTCAGAATTATTGATGCTTCAAAAAATTATTAAATATATAATTCTTTTTAAAAGTTTAACTTTCCTGTATCTTGTCCTCTTTACTCTTCAATAATAATAAACTTCATTGTTCCATTGGGAAGAAGAATAGAACATACAAAAGATACTGTAGTAATGTGTTCAAGAACATATAGAAGACATGGTATTGTACTCATTCCTTTTTATGACAGAACTGCTAGTGACTCAGCCTAATTATGTTACTTATTTCAAAGGAAGAGACACAAAAATTCAACTGTTGAATATTATGTTCATCACTGAAAAACAGTTATGCATTTAAGCATTCAACTTGATTCCTATATAATCTAGAATTTGTGGATTTTAAATTATAAGCCAAACAGGTCAAGTATTGTTTTTCTTTGCTTGACTGAGAAACTTAATGGTAAAAGATAAACTGGGTTCTCAGTGACTCACTGATAACAGCATTGTCAATAAATCAAGTCAAAGCATATTAGTCAGAATATCCAGTATCTTCTTGGCAGATAAGGAGTCATCATAATAGAATAGCAATCCCAGAGCTTTATTTAAAAACAACAACAACAACAAAACCCACATGTTATTTCAGGGTTTTCTAATTGCTCTGAAATTAAGTAAAGTACTTAATATGTCAAGGTTTAATATAGTGACTAGGCAGTAAACAAAATAAAAGTTAAGTTATCCTACAACTTCTAAATTATACTTATGTAATTGAAAAACAAATTTAAAAAATATCACATTTCTGAATAATTGTAATCTAGGACCAAAGCAATTTATTTTGGAAAATATAAGCAACTGATCTGCCTCATCCATTGAATGAATAGTAGACTTAAAATCCCAAAGCATAGAAACAACATAGCAAAGAGATAGAAATAGCAGTTTTGATTAAGTAAAAGGAAAGTGATGTAGTTTCAAAGCAAGTGTATTAGTTCTATGTAAGTAATTTCCTTGTAAGCTTGTTAGAACATAGTGCCTCAAAGCCCTTACCTCTGATGCATAACCTCTCCTGAAAGGCAGAAATAAAGAAATCAGAATTAAATATGTTGGAATTTAAGATTAGGTAATCCTATAAGATAAGGGGCATTTAAAATATTTTGAATAAAAACAAGCTGATTTTTCACTATAAAATGTCTTAGTGAGAAATGTATTTCATAACTTTAGCAGGACTGAAAGATCATATTTTATGTCTGTTACTAGAAACAATTAAGAGTGAAGAGTCTCATTTCCTATAAACAACCCCAAAGTCTATTTTTTTTCAAAATAGTTTCTAACATGCTTTGAATATCTCATGCTTCATTAAGATAAAATATTTTATATTATCTCTATTTGGTATACCTCTTGAAGCAAAAAAAAAAATGGGGAAAACAGTACTGGCTAAAAAGTAACTATACAACTAAAACATATACTTCCAAATAATCATAATTTTGTTTGTTTATATTAACAATGATGCCATGAGTATAGGGTGAAAGTATTAGCTACTTTTCACTGTAAATTACTTTACTAGAATGAAAATGAAGTTTTAAACATATAATACTCAAACATTCCAAACACAGAATACTAATATTTATGTACTAGGCGATGGTGAAATATTTGACTGAACTTGATAGGAAAAGAGAGTATAACATACTCAATGTGAATCAATTATGGATTTTCTATTCCTTCTGAGTTAAACAGTTGACTTAACTTATTAAACTGTTGTTGACCATCCTATATGGCATTAATGTAAAATATATGTAATGAAGATTTTTTATAAATGAATAAATACAAGTTTCTGAAGTCCAATAAACCAATCTGTAGAATATCTTTATATCTCTGGCTATCATAGATAAATCTACTTATTTAAAAGCATATTAAAATAGTGGATTACTTCGTGAAACTGAGAATATGGATAATATAATGGTATAGATAATATAAGGATATAAAATTCTATTCACAATTTGACATTGAATTTTAGAGTTTATTCAAGTTCTTCCAGTATTTTCAGACATGCTAACTTTTAGGTCTATTCAACTGTTACTCAAATTCTTTTTCAGAGCTAGGGAAAACTCTTCTTTAAATTTTAATAATGACAGTTAAGTTGCATACATCATATGAAAAAAATCCAAGCACAGATACTTTGTTTTGTGGGATATTTAGTTATTTCTTTTCATTAACATCATTTTCCATAACTGCCAAAAAGTTTTAAAATAATAGATTTAACCACACTGTTTCCATTAGCCTGAAAGTGCCCTTCCCCTTTACTGTTTATTTATATTGCCTGTTTTAGTTCAAAGGCAGAAATATATGTGACAGAATAATTATTTATAGTTCTCTTTGTTCTTTCAAAAGTGGCTGAAATTATTTAAGTGAATATTTTATGTAGTTTTTAACCAAATGTATATTAATTATTCATTTTCTACTCTATGTGTGTACTGTGCTTACTTTTAGTAATGAAAAATATATGGTCATCTTTACTATATTCAAAATGAAGTATCTAATCATTCATATGCATTAAAGAAAGCTTAACAAATGCATAGAAATATTCTTTTTCTTAGTGGCTGGTTTTCACTTTGTAGGGGCTGCAAACTGAGCAGGAAAGAATGTTTCAACTTCTGTATCCATTAATATTTATGGGACTCATATAGAAAATAGTTTAACAGATTTATTATGAAGATAGAAAACCCCAAATATAATCTGAAAATAAAAACTGTATTAAATACAAAGTTGTAGAAGTGTTTCATTTTAATACATAAAATTTGAAAATATACAATCACAATTGAAATGTTATAGAAAGGCTCAATGTAACAATTTCATAGTTCTATGAGTACTTATCCAAAAATATTTGTATTTCTTACATACTGTGTATTTTGTTGTTAGGGAATTCTAAGTTTCAAATTTGCAAAAAGGTTGTAGAAATTAGCTTAAAAACACACATTCACATTAAAGTCTCACAGTTGTGAATAATACCTTGTCAGAGTTCGCCAAATAGCACAAGTTCTCATGCATATGACCAGCTGCCAACAAAAACTCCAACTGAAGTTTTTCAGTGAAAGAGAGAAAAAAGATCATGTTCAAGAACCCCAAGAAAGAAATTACTTTTGATTTGGATGAAAAGAATTAGAAGCAGATGGGCTAATGGAAGTAATTAGACTCACAGATTGGTTTTTATCTGATCTCATTAATTAGGAATGTCAGATTAAGACCTTCAATACATGTCACATCATATATAGGTTGAGCAAAACTTTGAAATGACACATTGTAGGGCTCCCAACCTACATGACTATACTTGAAGATGTAACTATCAAATGCCAGTTTTACCTGGAGATTTCAAGAAATTTTTTGCTACTTAAAAGATACAACAGGATTTCTTATGACACTCTTAGTTGTTTCATAATCATCTGCTATTTTCCTGGAATAGTCACAAAGTATAATCTGTAACTGTAACTCTTTCTATATATTCTAATGTATGAAAACTCCAAAATTAAACACATAATTATGCTTGTACTCAAAACGAGGATTTCAAATAAATAAAATTGATTCTATGTTTCATGAGAAATAAAAAATTGATGATCATGTATTTTCTATTGTGTTTCTTTGTGTACAAATAAGTATATATAGTATGTAGGTATGTAATTGAGCTAAACAAGCTTAGTTCGGTATACAAGTTTCATGAAGAAGGTGGAAAGAGAGTGATACTTAGCATGGTCAATGTTGTTGAGACTACAAGTTAAGTTCTACAATGCTAAGACTACTACTATGACTATAGAAATTTCTTCCTATCGTATAATTTTTTTATCTTCCTTGCCTAATATAAGAAGCAAAGGTCTACATAAAATTGATGGTCATTTAATAAATATAATCTTTCTTGATTCTTATGAAAGTTATATATTAAACTTATTGAAATGGACATAAATATTGTCTTTTGAAGGAGAAGGCCATAAGACATAATTAAGGAGATGTAATAATGTGAAAAAGCAAAATAAAATAACACTTTAAACACCTGTGGGAAAAATGAAATGGCTTACAAAAGTCAACAACTTGAGATTTATTTTCATTATAAAGAACAAAAGGGAAAACACAGGAGAAATAAATAGAGTCAGACAGCAATTGAAACAAAAAGTAAAAGATTTATCAGACCTATAAGCATAATAGCAGTATAAAAGCAAGCCAGAGTAAAGGAAGTTTTCATAAGAAAACAGATGACTACATATGATAGCACCTGGGGTTTATTTTGAAAAAATACCCTATGTCTTCTGTCATTCCCTAGAACTCTAGGTACATAACATCTTACTTTGTAAGTATTTTCTCTTACCAAATACATAGGCTTCAAGAAAATAAGATCTAGGGTATCACTTTCAGTGTACATGACAATAGTCTGATTTCTCCTAAAACATTCATTTAAAGCTACCATTTAAAAGGAAAAGTAGAATCACTGCACCAACATGATAAACAAGCCTTTGGTTTAAGTTGGATAACTGACTTTGTTGCCCATAACTCCCCCATTAAAAATAGATTAAAATTACTTACTTTTAAAATAATTGTAGGATAAATAATGCTATTTTGTAGTTTTAAAGAGTTAAGATAAATCTACTATGTGAGTTAGTGGTGATGATGTTAATAATCTTTTAAATTAAAAAAAAAAAGTGAAGAAAACAGCATTGCACCAAGTTTGGGCTAAGATAGTGAAATCTTCCTTGATGTTCAAATTTGATGTTCAACTTGAAGACTATGGTGAATAAAGGATTTGCCAAGTTAAGACCAGAAAGGCAACATTACAGTTCAGTAGACTGACTGTGATGCTGTGTTTCAGTGCCCTCAAAAACACTGCCCAAATTCTCTTGTTTTTGTTCAGATGTCGTTTCCATATTTGCTTTCTCTGAAGGACAATCTGTCGGAGGTTTGGAGATTTTTGTGAGTGAATAGTTTTTTTCTATTTGACTGCACATATTAGATACTGACTTTTCAAGTTCGGCTAAATTTTTAATATGTTTGAAGATGCTTTTGTGTTGTTTTTGAGTGTCTGCATTACACATTGTGGTGGGTAGTTCTGTCGTAGAAGGTTTAATTTCTATGGCAGTTGTGGTATTGGTAGTACGTCTAACAGGTGGTATACAACTATTCTCTGTAGTTAGACCTGTAGCTGAAGAAGGCAGTGGACAAGGAAGATGGAGAGTGGATGGGGGAAGAACAGGAAGTGAATGTAGAGGAAGTAAAGGAGAAGTAGTTAGGGGAGTAGAAGTAGGAACAGAAAATGAGAGATGCGGTGTAGGAGGAAGAGGAGGAGGAAGGGTAGAGGGACTAGAAGGAGAAAATGAAAGAGAAAGGGGATTAAGGACTAGAGTAGGGTCAGTGTGAGGAGGCAGAGAAGGATTGGAAGAAGATAAAGGAGAGATGTTAGGTACATAGGAAGGATTTTCAAAAAAATTCCTTCTTATTTCAACGTCTGTTATACACGTGGGTGTGTCTCTCTTGACGTCCAGAGTATTTGAAGCACAAGTCCTCACAGGAGAAAGTTCCAAGGAAGAGTCAGCAGGAGAACTGATGATGCTAGGTTCTGATCTGAGCTCCACAGTTCTTGAAATAGTTGGCAAAGTAGAGAATGAGAAGTGAGACCAAGAAGAGGAAAAGGAGGAGTCTGAAGATAGACATTTCAACTGTTGTGTACCTTGCATGCTCAGTGTTTCTCTCTGCCTTATGTTTTCCTCTGTCAAGTTTACATCTTCTGTTGTGCACAGTGGATTGCTGCTACCTTTCTTCCTTGGATGCATCTCAATGCTTTCGTATTCAGCATTTTGCCTTGTGCTTTGCAAGTTCAATAGGTCTATGGTTTCTGTTCTGTGTGGAACTTTACACATCAGTCTCCTAGGTAAGCTGACTGGCTGTTTCCACATCCTCTGAATCTTTTCTCTTGAGCCCCTTAGAGATTGGCTCTTGAGTTGTGTTTTGGGTAAACCTGAGTCTTCAAAACCTGTTTTCAGTGAAATGTCTGAATTTGTTGATCTTTGATCTATATTTTCTTTATAAAGTATATTATGGGCACTTAAGTCTTCCTCATCAGAAAGAAATGTGAGTTTTCTCGTAGGATTGAGGTGGATGTTCTTCAGTGATCCATCTATAGGGGTTGGCTTGGGTGCCTCAATGGGGCTGGGAGAAAATGGCATCACAACTTGCTGACTTTTCCTGTCTTCTGAGACTGAGTTAGTTCCCCTGCTTTGTTCAAAATGGTAGAGAAGGAAAAGACTTGAAAGAAAAGAAGATAATGAAACGTAAGGAAACAGATTGTAATATAATTTTTCATGAGAAAGATGTTTTATGGTTCTTACTACTTGAATTTTTTTAAAAGCTCAATAACACTAATCTATTGAAACAAACACAATTTTCTTGTCCCTGTTCTATAAAAAATTAAGCAAGGAAATTTTATGAAGTGTGATTAACATGAGAGATTTTCATTAAAAAATTTCAATCTCGACTTCTTTTTTCCTGTTAGTTTAACACAGAAAAGCATACTCTCTCTCTCTCTCTCTCTCTCTCTCTCTCTCTCTCTCTCTCACACACACACACACACACACACACACATTTAGAGTTCATTCATGTATCAATCTCCATTCTCCAACCTGCAAGCAAGCATCGTAGCCTTTGATTTCATATCCTCTGCCTTGCTTGAAGTTACTCAGACAGTTGCTGTTAGGCATAAAAATTCTTGTCTGTAACTGAGTCACTTACTTCGCCTATTACATCTCACTCATCTCAGTAATTTTGTCCTAGAGCTAAAAATGCTTTCTGATCTGTGACAAAATTTGCAAGAGAATACAGAAGGATATTCCATTTCTCAGATTAAGAGAATTCCAGTCCCCCAAGTCAGAAGGGAGAGCTCAAAAATGTAATTAAGAAATTGACGTCATGCAACAAGTCTGAACAGACTTTTTATGTTGCGACTGCTTAACTTTTACCCTCAGTCAAATTTAATTCATCATAAGCAATATCAATCAACAGAAGGACTGTTAATGTTTCCTTCAAATCTGATTTAGCTCAATTTTTAGTCAAGACTCATCTTTAATGAAAATGTTTATGATAAAATAATAATGTTATGATATCATTGCAAGATTTTCTCATGCATGGATAATGAATCTTAAGTATCCTTGAGGTACAATTAAAATGGAATAAGTCAAACAGTACAAATGAAGTGCCCCTGTTAGAATCATTGGACTTGCCCTTCTGAAAAGTTATGGGGGACAGGGCAGGTGGTTGTAGTTTTCTATAAATTTTTCTCTCAATCGAAAGAGAATGACAGGTTAAGTTTAGTAATAGCTTTATATTTGCTCACCCAGAAGGAATGAAAACAAAAGGGGGATATTTTGTATAGAAAATATAGAGAAAGGCACATTGAAAATTATGGTAATAGTAATAGGTTAAGGAAAAAAATTGTATATAGAGTTACATATATAATTTGTCATTTGGCAAAAATAGAATTTTTTAGTCTGTCACAAGTTTACCTGGAATATTAAGTCCCTTAAAATAACTAGAAACTGTAAGCAATTGAAATGAAGAGACAAATATTTCTAGCTTTCCTCAGATTGGAAAGGTTTTTTTAAAGAAAATATGTCAAAAATCATTTAATTTGACAGTACATGGCTATTGTTTAATGTAGTTCTATTTATGGCCTAATATCAGATCACGTATGATTAAAAGATCTAACCATCATCTTTCTATCATCTATTTTTCATCTGTCTACTTACCTATCATTTATCTCTCTATCATTTATCTATTTCCCTATCTTAACCAATTATAATAAGAGTTTGAATCTATTTTTCTGGCAGGCCAAATACTGTAACTGGAACATTGATATAAGGTGCATGCCATTTCAAGACACTAAAAAGAAATTGAATATGGAAGGTAAAAGCAAATGATCCCACAGCAAAATATGATGATTACTTCATATACAGTAAAAACAGCATTTAGTCTATTCTGTTACATTTGAGTTCTAATACCCTTGTATGAGAATGATATTAATTACTTACTTATGCCTATGTATCCACAGGTGAGAAAGAGAAAACATGTGATAGAAAAAAAAAGTTTTAACTACAGTTAATTGGCTATGATTATAAAAATACTAACAGGAACTTGCTTTACACAATATGTATATCCAAGAAAGATAACACACCTTGTAAATTTCTTATGTTTATTCATTATAATGATATTTACTAGCATTTTTATATAATTGCATGGAATTTATTTGGGTGTATTATCACATGAAATTATTTATCATAATCTGTTTTCTGGTATGTAAAATTCCCTTCTGTGAAAACTAGTTAATTCAAACCTGAAATATAATTTTTATATATAATTAAGAACTGATCCTATGTCCTAAATATGAAATCCAGTTTAGAGCATATGGACTGATAAAAAAAAAGAGATATTTTGTTTTGGAAAAAGGAAATGGGTAATTACTAAGATCTATATTTCAGAGAAGTAAAATGTATATGAAGTAACAAATAACTTTGTGAAGATTTTGTTTTCAAATTAGCTTTGATTTTTTCTTTTTAAAATAATAGCAACTCACTTCAAATTAATTCATTTGTCATAACTAACAAGAATCCCTACAAAATATTTGAGAGGGTAAACATTTCTTAAAATGAGAATTAAATATATAGAACTTAAAACTTCTCAACATATAACTGCAAACCTTCTATTAACTTTGTTTTATTACAATTTTTCAAATAATTTTTTATGTGCTGTTACATGCAAACTACCATTGCCAAACTATATTGATTCCAGGTAATGCTTCAATATTCCTGTTTCTATTAAAATGAAAATGTGTCCTTCCTTTATCTTCTATGTTAATACACTTACCTTTGTGCTTAATGCTTTATTTTCTAAAACTTTTTGCTAGTGGTAGGCATCATAACCAAAGAGAATCAAATATATTGGCTCAATTCCTAATTCAGCAATAAGTCAAAAAGAGACCATTATATTCAACTTAGGGAAAAAAGTAAAAAAAAAAAAAAAACACAAAAGAAGTATGTTTTTAAAGCATGATCATTGTATTATTATTGTAAAAACACTATGTTATGTTTCAATTTTAACATTAAAATAGAATATATATAAAATTTATCAGTATTAAAAATTATCTAACAGTGCATGTTTGATATTATTAGTGTATCATACAATATTAAAATACCTGTGTAAACTGGTTGCCCCATTAAAAGAGGGTTTCAGGAGTTTTAAGACTTACTTTGCTAGTAAATGCAAGTCTCACAGGTATATTTTAGTCCTTTTCCTCACTAAACTCTAGTTAATAGATTTTTTTGAATTCAGTTTAGGAATATTCTAATTTTTATATTTTTGCTTATTTTCCATGTCAGGCCATAATTAGTTATTCAGAAACTTTCAACATATAGACCAACTACACATTACAAAAAGTAAGTTGGTTATGTAAATAGCATCATTTGATAGAAATGTTTGATATAACAGCATATTAATTGTTTCTTACAAAATACATGCTTTAAACTGAGTTAGAAATTCCCAATAGTGTAGGAGAATGTTAAGAAATAATAGATCACTGTCAGTAACAAGGAAATGGGTGTTAGTTCATTATTTAGATCTTGAATTTCTTTAATTTCATCAGATTTTCATTACACTATGGTGAAATATTCTAAAATACTATATGAGAAACGTCCATGAGTTTAAGTTATTTTGTTTACTAAATTACTAAATGGGAAATGTCTTGGATCTCAAACTGGGAATTACCATTTTATGATGTGCTTTCTTCTTCCCTCCTACATGAAAATATCTAGTTTCCAGAATCTATTTACAGGTTTTTTAGAAAAATGTCTTTCTGACCCTGAAGATGGGCTGATAACTGCATCCTCAAATGAGTACTCGAGTACTGCGTTTCTTTTTTTCTTTTCTATTTTTGGCTATTGATTTTCAAGTTCCCTTGAGTTTTCATTTTTGCCTCTTTTTCAGTTTAAAAATAAATCCAAATAACCTGTATTTTTACATCAGGTTTGAGTTAAACTCAACACATGGCATCTCCTGAAAGGTGTACTTACATGGTACTATCTCCCAGTTCTTCATAGAGATGTGCACCCGGGGGCGGGGGTGGGGGCGGGGGCGCGGCCACAGGCGCAGGTGTGGGAGCTGCTGGCTTGGCTGCAGGCATTGCAGACTGAATTCGTGCTGTCTTGGTGCACTCAGCCTGGCGTCTTGGGTAGAGTAAGGTTGTCTGGTAAAACTCATTGTAGAAATCTTACACATATCTACTGACTGTCTTTGAATAGGGAGGTTTAGTTTTCTGAGATAGCCACTTAAAAATACTGGTATAACAGTATTTGGGCAGCTAAAATGACAGAATCATCCTTTCTGGGGACCATTGCCATACAATGTTCTCTAACATGTCGACTCCATGAAAAAAGGCTAGATAGAACTCATGGAAGCCCACGTTAATGAAACTAAATGGCAATATTAAACTCAATAGCATAGCAAGTTCTGGGGTTTCATTATTTCATAATAGGAACACTATATAATATTTCACATACATTTCCATGAAAAGCTAGGAGAAAGAACTTTGAAACATTGCCACAAAGAATTTACATATGCTTGACGATCTAAATATAAATATGGGTATCCTGACTTAACAGTCACACTGCTAGTGATCATCAGTTTTCATCCCATAAATGTTGAATTACCCAAATAAAAATGAGTAATTTAAATTTTAAAATGTGGTGGAAAGCTGCTCCTTGGTTTATGGATCTCTTTCATAAAACAAGGCACAGCAAGGATTTCTTTCCTTTATTTTCCATCTCTTCTGAAAAGTTATTTTAGTTAAAAATCACTATTTTTTATATTACCTAACAGAGATTACATTCTGTGATTCTTGCATTATAATTAGGATTCTGGGATACTTTGTTTTAAATTTGTACTGGAGCCTTTTCTCTAACAGTTGAAGTATGATTTCAACACTGTTGCTTGGGCTGGTCTTGAACTACAATTTGTATTAAATGGAATTATGAGTAACACACTCATAATTATACTTACACTTTAAACCTGTTTGGGAAAGCAATGAGCAAGAAAGAGAGAGAGAGAGAGAGAGATGCATTAGAGGTATTACATGTACTGTTTTAACATGATTTCCCCTAAATTGTGAATTATTTTCAAGTTAAACTCATGACATAGTTAAGGACATGATAAGGAAGTTAAGCATTTCAATCAGACAGTGAAAAAGAGGGGCACATTCTCGTTTTCAATGCAGTTATGAAGCTGTTAAATATTTGTTACAGAAAATGAATGAATGAACCAAATGGAATAAGAAAAATGAATTAAACACAGAGATATGATTTTTTTAATTTAATGGAGAAAGGAAAAACTGAAGATGATTGGATCTTTTTAATTATCTTGTTGGTGGTTTACTGAAGGGAGTTAGTCCTGCAGCAATCCCTGATTAAACCCTTGGCTTCACAATGAAGCTGAAGCTAAAATTGGAGGAGGTCACTCTTGGAATCATGCTTTTCATATTTTTCTATTCTGTTTGCTTTTGTTTTTCCAGACATAGAAAATTCCAAACTCCGTCAAAATATAAAAGAATAGCCACTCCTTTTTACTTCATTTATAGACAGAATGTACAAGTATATATTAAATCTTTAAATATTAGAAATTTTCTTTGATAAATAAGCAGGGACAAATTTATTTAATGTTTTTAATCTATGAGAATCCACAACTAAACTGAATCTATACATACTAACTAAAAGGCTACTGAATAATTCCTTTATAAAATGTTTATATGTTAAGCATTTTAGCATTTGTGGAATTTTAGTCTGTTGACTATGACATCCATAATTCTTCAGTTTTGATCCTTACTTTGTGTGCCAAAGAATTTTTTTCACTACTTTTATGGATAGCATGATACTCCCTTTAGGAAATAATTGAGTGAAAGGGAGAAATGTAATACAAAATACATGTGAAAACTAATTATATACAATAACTTAAAGGTTTACAAAATATATTCAGTACTGTTTATTCATTTATTCATTTATAGATTTACATTTAATACATCAATTAAATTTTTAAAGGATAAACTCCAATATGTCAGCCTAATTGTTATATTAAGAGTTTTATATTGATTTTGTGTTTAAAATATTCTTAAATTATCTTCTGGCAGAGCGTATATTTTTAAAATTTTCAGATGTGAGTTATATTGCCTTATTCAATCTGAATGAAAATTGTCAGTGTTTGATCGAAGAGAGCAGTTATATAGAAATATCATACTACCTTCCCTGAATGTCTTTATATGATGAAAAGCAGCCCTAATATTATCTCTTGTATTTGTTACCTTGAGTAATATGTGTGATTTATCTATTTGCTATTTCTTTTCTTTTCTTTTGTTTTAACCATCGGCACAGTTACTTCCTTCTTAAACTGGTCCCCATTTTCCTTGCGGGTGGGATAAGAGGAAACAAATGGTAGAGAGCCAGGGAAGACGCGATATTTTTCAAATAGAAATGTGTTCTTTATCTGACTTATGTAACCATAACCCCTCTGTACTCTGCAACAAAAATAATTTTTTTTCTTAAAAAAAGAAAAAAGCCTTGGCAGCTAATTCCAGAAAAAAAAATTCATAGTTCCCAATCACAAAGTTTTCCATTCTTAGTGTCAAATCCAACCTATTCCTAACCTACCTCAATTATTGGTTTAAGAATTGGTTTAATCCTTTAGAAGGTATAAAAGTGACATTAAAATATACATATAGTAAATGCCTGTGTTCAACCGTAGAAAATAGAAAAACACAAAGTCTGCACAGCTTAAATATGTTATCAGATATTGAAAGATAGGCTCTAGCAATTGCCCAAGAATAAGGTAAACACATGGAACACCATACCTGTTCCATTGTGACTTTTCATTTCCATCTCTGTGGAATTGCCCAAGAATAAGGCAAATACATGGAACATCATACCTGTTCCATTGTGACTTTTCATTTCTATCTCTGTGCAAAACTATTAATGTATTGATAAAAACCTAACATGCTAATGTAGGGAGGATATAAACCTATCTTTGGAAGTGGGAAGAATGGCATTTGGATAGGATATTACATTTTGCCAGGATACTTCATGCCATTCTTTAGCGATCTCTTTAAAAAGGGAAAGAACAAAATTACAAGTTGTAATGTACTAATCTTAGGAGATAGAAATCTAGTAGAGGCATAGAAACATTGAGCCATCTGTGAGAAATGAGTTTGCATTGTCATTTCTTGAACAAAGTGTCTTGGTTCAAGAAGAATGACAATCCCAGAAGGTTTACACAGTAACTACAAAACTACATTACCAGGTATGGTTTTTCTGAACATGTTCCTGTGAAATGATCCATGTTAAGCATCCTTGTATACTTACTGTCTGTAGCTGACTAAGACCACCAAGATGGCAGGGATACAGCAGAGGATGATGATGAAGGCCAGAGCCAGCAAAGCTCCTTCTGTGTATCCTAAACTTTCTCCTCGCTTTTTAATGCTGGTTACTGCCTCTGGAGTCCGGATCTCCAGAATGCGTCCTCCTTCTCCATAATATGGCTGAAAGTCTTTATTGATATCGAGTAGTTTTCCATCTAAAAATCTTTATGGTTAAATAAATAGCAAAATAAATGCTGTTAAAGGAGAAAGTAACATTTAAATATAAAGTATGTTTCCATAAAGTCTTAACACTTTTAATAAAGCAAACTCATTTGAAGTATTGATTATTATGTAAAGTATACATGGGCTGGGAAGGTGGCTCAGTGGTAGAGCGCTTGCCTTGCATGCATGAGGCCCTGGGTTCGATTCCTCAGCACCACATAAGCAGAAAAAGCCAGAAGTGGCACAGTGGCTCAAGTGGTAGGGCACTAGCCTTGAGCTGAAGTGCTGAGGGACAGCGCCCAGGCCCAGAGTTCAGGCCCCACAACCAACAACAACAACAACAAAAAGTATACAGAAAAGTCAGAAAAGTGTAACAAATATTAGTGACAATAACCCTTTCTTGAAGACTAGAGAAAACTGATTATCCATATCATTGAACTATGTTGAGATTCTTACAAAGTTAATCTAATGAAATAAATATAATATCCTAAATTATATACTATTGTTTAAAAATATATTCATACATTTTATATCTTTGTGTCTTGACGAGTGTTCTGTCAACAGAAAACATTACAATACTGATTACAAAGACTAAAAATATTACTTTTTACTATTATCTTTAAGCAGTTTTTGTACAAAAGTATATTTTTAAATTATCTCTAAGTATTAATACAAAGGAACTGTCATTCAACAAAGCAGTTTATTTCAAAAATGCATTTTGTTCAATGTCACCCCTTTCACCCATCCATGACAGATTAATATAAGAAGTCCAAGATAACTTAAAAATATTTACAGACCTCCAATTATTAAATTACAGAATCCACTGGGAATTAGACAATATGTTTGCATTAATGAGGAGATTCAGTAGAGTCTTGGAATTGGTAGGAAAGAATATAATGGGATATTATGAATTGCTCTTTAAAAAATATATCAAGATCCTGTATCCTTATTTTAACATTTTGTTATTTCATTTCCGCTCCCCAAATAAGATGAAGAATTTCTTTTTATAATGTTAAAAAACTTTTATTTTAGCTATTTGGTATATACTTATATTTCTGAATAGGACCTGGTCTTTTTTAAATATATATTTTTATAGTGAACTCACCAACAAGTTCACACAGAAGAATTCATGAACTTGAAAACATAGTAATTAAAATTACCCAAACTACAATGTCAGGAAGAAAAATAAGAAGGTGCTTTGAAAGTGGCAGATGGAAGAGAGTACCTACGATCTATGAGAATTAGATTCCCAGGGTGAAAAACAAATAAAAATGAATATTATTTTTTGAGGAAGCCCAGCTTCCCCATAAACGTTTGCTGAGAAGATTGCTCCTTCCCTTAGTATAAATTCTTGGGTTTTTTTTGGAAAGCTATTGTTTGTAATATGAAATTTTATTCGAGGGCTCAGTATTATGTTACATTGTGTTTTACATTTGCCATTTTTTTTAATGCCAGAGTATGTAGCTTTATAGGGTATTCTGAAGTGTCGTAGTCTGATGCCTCTGGCTTTATTCATTTTATTCAACGTGGCTTTGGCTATTTGGAGTCTTTTGTAGTTTCATAGGAATTTCAAGGTATGCTTATTGATCTCAATTAAGAATAATTTTGGGATTTTATAGGGATTTTATTCTTTATATAGATTATACATGGTGGGAAGTACAGTATAAAATATCAGCTATTACCTAAGAGGAATATTTTTTAAACTTATCTACAACTTTTGAATATATAGTAGTAGAAATTAGATTACTGATAATTATGGTTGAGGTTAGGGAAAAAGTAATGACTAGTGTTTATCAATTTCCCTTTCTTTTAATAATGTTGTTAAGTTTATAAAAATCTGTAAACATGATTAATGGTGATAGTTGCAAAACTCTATTAATCTACTAAAAACCATTAGATTAAACACTTTAATGGATGTAATTATATTCCAATAAAGGCATTTAAATATTTTGAGAGAATAATTTAGAATACTGCAGAAAAAACAATGATAATAACAAAAGCAAAACGAAAAGTGAAAAAAAATGGGGGGTGGGGTCTAATAAGACAGTTTAAAGGAAATAAAAGCAAGAGAAAAGCAATTTATAATTTCTACAAAATCTAATGAACTCACATGTAAAATTAGAAAAATCAAATATCAGTAAGTATGCAAAACAAAATATGCATAGTATTAGCATATCATTAAGAGTCATACAGATCTCCAAATCCTTACAACATTTTTTTTAAAAATAATTGAAACCTAATTTAAAAAGTTATTGTGAGGGGGCTGGGAATGTGGCTCAGTGCTAGAGTGCTTGCCTTATATGCATGAGGCCCTGGGTTTGATTCCTCAACATCACATAAGTGGAATGGTTTTTCTTTCTTGCTATTGTTTCTAACATATTTATAAGATGATATTTTGTTGCTTTGTATGCCACTCCCCCACATAACCCTTGTTTTCACTGTTTTTGATGTTGGTATAATTTGGGGAGGGGAAGAGAACAAACAAATTTTTTAAATAGGGATACAGGTGGACCCATTGCACCAATGAGATGTACAAGACATTATGTCAAAAAACGAACTTTACAACTTTGGCAGGGTTGGGGGGGGCGATGGGAGGGCAGGGATGGGAAGGGGAAACAAAGGAGGAGGCAACAATGCTTGATAAGAAATGTACTCGTTACCTTGCTCATGTAATTGTAACCCCTCTGTAAGGTATTTTCACAATAAAAAACTTATTAATACTACTACTACTAATAATAATAAAAAGAAAAATCTGGAAGTGGCGCTGTGGCTCAAGTGACAGAGTGGTAGCCATGAGCAGAAGAGCCTAGCCCCAGTGCCCAGGCCCAGAGTTCAGGCCCCATGACCAACCAAAAAAAGAGAGTTATTTTGAACATACTAGTGTAACTATTAATTTGGTTTCTAATTTACTATGAGAACTGTAAAATCCTCAGATGCTAAGATTTCAGAATAAGGGGAAATTGAAAGACTACTTCCATTATTCTTGGTATTAGGTAATAAACTATGTTTTCCTGTACCTGCGCATTGTTAAAAGCTACATTTTCATAACTTCTGCTACTATAGAGTAGATGCTTTTCATATACACACATAGTATACATATAGGTATATTTCGTTATAAACTACCTGAAAACCAATCCAAAGGTTTAAACTAGTACAGCGTTTTCCCATAGAGTAGCTCAAATGTTTAAGAAGAACATCCCCAAGGCAATACTTTAATAATTTATAGCTCCTCTACCTACCTCTAATACACATAATATATACAGTCACTGTGGCTATTTTAAAGCTACATTAATATTAAATCTCTACTTCATTGTTGCTAAAATAAGAGCAGAGAATTGTTGTTAATTAACTGAGTTGAAGTTAATTCAGAATTTATAGTTTAATAAAACATGAATATATATTCCCTAAATATGGGTACAACCACAATAGAGTGAATAAATATGTAAATTTAGTGATGGAAAATTTTATATGTTGTTCTGATTTTAAATATAAAGCTAAATTATGAAATTATGAACTTGTATGTACATTATATATGTATGTGTGCATACATAGACATATAACCTTTGAATACATACATAAGGTCACATATAAATATCTTTTCCATTTTGAATGCTTTAATTTATTTTGTAAAATTTGTTTATTTATTACTTTTGGATTTTATTACTTTTACGTAGTTCTATGAAGAAGTTGCCATTTAACAGAACAGATTATGAATACAATGTATCTTGATCAATTTCATCCCTTTCAATATTCTCACCCATCCCTCCCTTAATTTAAATGACCTTTCAGCCAGTCACCGGTGGCTCCCACTTGTAATCCTAGCTACACGGGAGGCTGAGATCTGAGGACTTCTGTGAAAAGCCAGCCAAGGCAGAAAAGTTACCATGAGACATTTAACTACAATAACCTCTAAAAATCTGGAAGTGGAGCTGTGTCTCAAAGTGATAGAGTGCTAACCTTAAAGAAAAGAACTCCAGGACAGCACCCAGGCCCTGAGTTCAAGGCCTATAACAGACAAAATAATAAATTTAAAAACTTTTAAAAGACAAATGGTCCATCTGAAATCCTATTGGACGCTAGGTGTCACCAGAGGAAAGCAGAATCCAGTGACAGGTTATGTGGAAATAATCATTGTTCAAATAGCATCCAATGGAAAATATGTAGTAACTTTATTTGTCGATAGCTACTTTCCTTTTATTTTATTTTTTCCTTATTTTCTTTATCCACCATTACCATTTTATTATCTTTAAATAGTTGTGCAAAGAAGTTACCATTCAGCAAGTCAGTTCATAAGTACAATGTATATTATCCTTATCAGCCCTCATTTCCCACACTCCCCTCAACATGTCCTTTCCACATTCCTAGCTGCAGAAGATATGAACTGAATATTATTGCAGATCCCCTCTTCATTCCTCTGTAGCCTCCCCTTTCAAGTACCACTGTATTTCTCCCCCCTTAGGAAAAAGAAGAGTGCTTGAATTCCAATCGCTTGTAACTGTTTTTACATTTTTTAATTTTCCCCTGTAAATACTGTATTTCACTTAATATATTTGTGTACATGCTTGGATACAACCCCATTGGTGTTTACTTTTGCATGTATAACTTAGCTCTAGCTTCCACATACAAGAGACAGTGTATCCTTTGTCTCTTTGGGCCTGATTGAACTTCACTTAGCAGAATTTTCCCCAGATCTCTCCATTTTTTGCAAATTATGTAATATATCATTTTTTGCAATGAATGAATAAAATTCATATGCATAGATCACATTTTCTCAATCCAGCAACACCTGGGCTGCAGAGAGTAAATAGTGTGCAGCAATAAACTTTATGATGTAACTGTCTTGAAAGTATCTTGATATGTAATCTTTTGGATAAATGCGCAAGAGTGGTATTGCAAGATCATAAAGTAGTTCTATGTTTAGATTCTGAGGAATCTTCATATTTTAGCTCCATTTTATTTGAGTGTTGTACATATATATATATGTACATATATATATATATATGATTTGGGTTTACACCAGGATTATATATCACAAAAGTTATGGGAAAAAGCAAGGCAGGAAATCTGGGACTAACTTTTGGTGCTTCAGAAATCTGTAAGAAAGTTGTATTTCTTTTTACCACTGTTTGCCTACTGATAGTGATTCAGGAGAAATGCTATTGTTAGAATCCATATTTTTCTCTCAAATATCCAGGGCAAGTGAATGACCAAAAGATCATCCCAAAGAGCTGCTCCTGACTCTTACAAATAATGGACCCGTGGGAACAAACCTTCTGAATACCAACGAGCAAATGTTTGGGTCTGAACAGATGGTATAAAGACCTTCGGACTGACTTCGATTTTTGTTAGTGTTGTTGCTTCCTTTTTTATTTCTTTTTTTTTAACTTTCAACAACATTTTGTTGGGCTTTGAACTTTATGTTCAAACATAGCTTTAAATTCGAATTAACTGCAGGTGCTTTGTAACCCTACAAATATTATAGGCATTAAGAAGTATTCATGCCCTGTGAAACTAGGAAAATTGAAGGGAAGGGTTTGGGTTTAGAAGTGAGGAGAACAATCAAAGAGGTGACATCCATCAAATGCATTGTACTTAAGGCGGATTTGATACATGCCAACTCCTTTGAACACCTACACAAAGATAATAAAAATATAATTTAAAAATTAAAATCAAATAAGAAGTACTTACTTGAAAAGCTCATTTCGGTCTATGGCCCTATTTGTTTGGGGGTCGATTGCATAGACGGTCAAGTCACATTTGGTGTAATCTTCCAGAGAAAAGGCGTCTCCATGTCGGCGAGCACCAATGGACTCCACCACAACCTTCGCACCAGGAATTTGCTCCTGAACGTAGCGATCCAGAATCCTACACATCAAATAAAATGCAAACATGACATGCTGGGCAGTCTGGAAGGGAAAAGAATCCCTCCAACTTGAAATGTCATTCAATACATGAAAAATCATGTCGGCCTGGTCTTTAAGAGTGTTTACTGAGTAGCAACCCTTCAACAAATTCTCTATATTGATTTCAGCAAGTAACTCCCAAAGATATTGTAAGGTAAATGAGGTAGTAAGGGCTCATCAACCATTTTCTCTTTAAGTGTAGACATTTTGAAGTTAAGACATTATTTGGGTGCTTTATCTACCCCTTGGGATGTGACAAATACCTTGTACAAATGAAACTGAGTCTGGAAAGATTCCTTGGGGTCCTTAGGGACATTTGATCTCTCATGGTTGGTGTCATAAATGACTCTGCAATACAGAGTCTGTAGCCATGGCACCTGACTGTTGGTGCAAGGTCCCTGTCCTGCTAAAGCAATGATGAGCCCTTGAACTTTATAGCAATGAATGAATATAAACGCATTTTACAATGATTCGTTTAAAAGGTGACTGTTAAATATTGTGTTCAAAGATTAGAAACTTCAGGTTGGGGAAAAAATCAACTAAAAGATGTCCTTTCTCACATAGAATCAGTAGTATCCAATAGAAAAGATAGGAAAAAATGCAACAAAAATGGCAATAACAAACCCTAAATGTTTGCAAATTTTCCCTTCCCCATTTTAGTAATAAAATGCCAACCTGTGCAATCCTAGTCATTGGCCTATGGAAGACAAGTGCTACTTCAATCACTTGTTTCCATGGATATAAAATATGCACTTAAGGATTTGCACAGGTATCACTCCTACTTCTCATTAGAGACACAGAAAGAAGGATAAGAATTTGTTGCTGTTTTCATCCGATTGACACTTATGTTCTTTCCCTGAAAACATGCTGATTTTTATTTGAGAAAATAATGAATGTTAGTGCTAGGGCCTCATACTTGTTAGATAAGCACTCTCTCATTTAAGACACATCAAAACTTGTTTAATTTTTTAGAAATCCCACCTTAGGAGAGTTTTTAGCAGTTATCTTTCCCTATCCTTGCCCCATGCCACAAAAATCTGCAAGTTATACAAACCAGGGCTTTCATATATACAAATTTGGTTCTGTAATCAAAGCCAAGTGGATAAAGTAGCCAGGATTTATCTATGTATGATTAATGACACTAGACTTTGTGTATAAAACTGTTCCTATAGATGTAGTTTCTCAGGCCTCTTGAACTCTCCATGTTATTGACCTTTCACCCCTCACTCCATTTCCATTGTCTTATTGATACAGCTAGCTCTATACACATTTCCCTCAGTTGCTGGGAGACATGAGTTCTACTACATTAAGATGAATAGTATAAACATTTTCATTTGGTGTGCAGCAATACCAAAGCACTAAACACTAAACATGTTCCTAATTATTTCAGGGCAGTAACATATAATTATGTCAGTCCCTAGTCAAATCTATGTTATATATTTTCACTGCTATTGGTACGAAATGTTCATTCTGTTTAAATTGATAATGATGGCTATAAAATTTATACTATAGATAGACCAGATTATTTACTTATTTTTGGCCTGAATCAGAACTTATAAGCAACCAAGTTATCTTCAATACATGAATACATAATTATACTACATCCATTCAATGGAATATTATTCAGTGTAAAAAAGAAATGATTGCTAAGTGCTGTTGGCTCACCCCTATAATCCTAGCTACTCAGGAGGCTGAGATATGAGGATCAGGGTTTGAAGATATCTGGGGCAGATAAGTCTGTGAGACTCTTAGCTCCAAATAACCACCAGAAAACTGGAAGTGGGGTTGTGAGTCAATGTGAGAATGCTAGCCTTGAGCAAAAAAAATAGGGACAGTGCTCAGACCCTGAGTTCAAACCCTACAACTCGAAAACAAATCTATAGATGTATTACCTTAAACACATGGAAAAATCAACTATTATTGAACAAATAAATGTGAAAGATAATACATATCATGTGGCTCCAAGTAAAGTATGCCCAGGGGATTGGTTCCATGACTTCTTGTGAATATCAAACTTTACTAATCTTAAATTCTTTACAAAAATAATAAAGTGTTTGGAAATAATCTATTCATATCCTGCTATATATTCTTCTTTTTTTGGTAGGTCATGGGGATTGAACTCTGGGTCTGGGTGCTGTCCCTCAGCTCTTCAGCTCAAGGATAGCACTCTACCACTTGAGCCACAGTGCCACTTCCAGCCTTTTCTACTTATGTGATGCTGAGGAATCAAACCTAGGGCCTCATGCATGCAAGGCAAGCACTCTACTACTGAGCCACCTTCCCATCCCCATCCTGCTATATACTTTTTAATATTTAATATTTTAATTGGGTTACAATAATTTGAAATGAATTCAACAAATATTTTTTGTACAAAAGCAAAAGCCTACAATAAATTTACAGAATAAAAAGCAATTGAGACATATATGTTGGAAATAAATTATTTTTGGTATGTGTGTTGGTCCTGGCACTTGAACTCAGGGCCTAGGCTGGTCCCCAAACTTTTTGTTTCAGGCTACTTGAGCCACTTGCAATATACTTTGAATCACTCCTAGATTACCTATGCGCTAATTCAATGTAAACATCACTCGAAGAGTTGTTATACTGGAATTTTTAGGAAATAGGGACAAGAAATATGTCTTCATATTTTCAGTATTGACATAAAAAATATCCATCCATACTTGATTGAATCTGTAAACAGGACACTGGAAGACAGAGGGAGTCAATTGTGCATAATATCTTGGAAAAGACAAAACTTGGTTGGGAATGTGGCTTCGTGGTTGAATATTGGCCTAGCATGCATGAAACACTGGGTTTGATTCCTCAGTACCACATAAACAAAAACAACAAAAGCTGAAAGTGGTGCTGTGACTCAAGTGGTAGAATGCTAGCCTTGAGCACAGAGAGGCTCAGGGACAAAGCCCAGGCCCTGAGTTCAAGACCAGGACTGGCAAAAAAAGAGACAAAACTTAATTAATACATGAACAAGAAGAGTTCCTAGAAATAGGCTGAGGGAGGGATGAACAGAAGGAGCTTAGGAGTTTGGGGGTTGGTAAAATGTTCTGTATAATGTTGTATTGCTAGATACATGTCACTATACACTATTCATCCAAGGAATGTGCTAGAGTGAACCATGTACTTTGATTACAACAATTTAGATCAGGATCAACTGTCAAGAAAAGGGGCTACTGATCATAAAAGGAACTACGTATATCTGGAGATCAAAGAAGGTATATGAGAAATAGCTGTCCTTTCCTTTTTTATTTGCTATGAATTCAAATTACTCTAAAAATCAAGTCCTAATTAATCCAGTAAGATTTACCTAGAAGTATTAGAAAAGTAAACCTTCATGCAAGTGCTCAAGTCAGAACAAGATTATATTTTTTTCTCATGAATGAGCTTCATGAAATGAGAGAAAAGGAACATCAATCATCAATCCTTAGGGAATACGATCTTGAAGCGTTCTCTGAGAATGAAGGTTATATTGAGCAATAGATAGCATAGCTTTAATGAAATGAGCTCCCTGTAAGAAGAAGTGTGTGTTATAGCAGCAGTAGGGAGCTGGGTGCCTGTAGAGAGCTGGGTGCCTGTGCGGAGCCAGACTGGAAAGACTTGGGATACTGTTTCCTGTGCAGCATCCTTTATTTCTCTTCTGGTCCCTCCTAAGCATGAAAATTGGTTATTATCCAGTTTGTATTTCCCTGGCTTTAATTTTTAAAACAACACAGTAATAGACTTTACAATTCAATTATAAAGTTTGGCAAAGTTTATGTGTAAAAGGGAATTATCACAATTAAATCTCTTTGTACAGTTAAAATATGCTGATAAAAAATAAAAAAACAATACAAATAGTGCAAGGTAGTATCTGATATTAGCCAACTTCCTCAAGAAAGATAACTGGTCATGCTTTATCTTCTAAGAAATAAAGAATGCCCTCCCCCACAGTATAACCTCTGCTTTCACTGTATTTGATGTTGGTATAATTTGTGGAGGGGAAGGGAAAAACAAGTCGTTTAAATAAGGATACAGGTGAAGGACCCGTTGCAACAATGAGAAGTACAAGTTGTCATGTCAAAAACGAACTTTACAACTTTGGTGGGGGGAGGGGAGGATTAGGTGGGGGGCAGGAGAGGCTGGGAAGGGATGAGAAAGGTAAACAAAGGAGGAGGCTACAATGCTTGATAAGAAATGTACTCATTATCTTGCCCATGTAATTGTAACCCTTTTGTACAGTATTTTCACAATAAAAATATTTTAAAAAAGAAATAAAGAATGCATCTTCTAAGAAATAAAAAAATAATTGCAATCATCTGAATGAATTTTTTTTTTTAAAAAATGGGTTTACAGTTAGAATGGCTATAATCAAGAAACCTAGTAACAACAGATGCTGGAGGGGATGTGGGCAGAAGGGAACCTTACTGCATTGTTGGTGGGAATGTAAACTTGTTTAACCACTCTGGAAAGCAGTATGGAGGTTCCTCAAAAGACTCCACATAGAGCTCATCTATGACCCAGCAATCCCACTTTTGGGCATTTACCCAAATGATCACAAACAAGGTCATACCAAAGCTACCAGCATAACCATGTTTATCACAGCATTATTTACCATAGCTAAGATATGGAACCAACCAGGATGCCCCTCAATAGATGAATGGATCAAGAAAATGTGGATATATATATTAATATACGTTATATATTATATATGTTTATATATATACGAATTCCATGCCTCCATTGCATTGCCCTATTTTGTTAGAAAATGGAAAGACTTGGAAAAAATGATATTAAGTGAAGTAAGCCAGGCCTAAAGAAACATAGGTCCCTGGTTTCCCTTGTTTGGAATGACTAGTACATGTCTAGGACAAGCAGAGGTCAAAGACTATGTACATATGACCACATGATGTAATGTTAAGCAAAATGTACCCCAAGACAGGGACACAAATATTTTTTTTCTTTCTTGCTAGT